TCCCTGCATCTATGGATTAATTAGTAAGACATGTATTGCTAAACCTTTATTATCTACAAAAAAAAAAAATAATTTCTTACAATCTAAAAATATTTTCTGGCTTTAAATAATTTGCAAAATGTTGATAAGCCATAGAAAATGAATGAATCAAAAAGAAACAGACCCCTCCCCACCAAAAAAAAAATATATGATGAAGTTAAAATAGATCGTAATTTGTGATTGCTAGTGATTTTGGAGTAGAGGGTGAGATAATTCTGCAAGCTTATCTCTATATTGGCAGAAACATGGGGTAGCATCTCCAAATCTGCATGGATTGTTTGCTCCACGCAACTTAAGTTTGATTCCTGAATGTTTATCGCTATCATCGCATTGTAAAGTGCAGAGTATCTCAATTTGTGTTAAGCTGGCTTGGTAACATTTTGTGAACTTAACAACAATTCTGTCATATTGACAGTATTGCTACGTTCAACTCTTTGTTGGTTTGGCCTTTCATTCATTGCGATATGGTTCCGTGTGACTTGTTATAAGATCAGTTTCAACACCTGTTTGCTTTAATTACTAAATTATCTTTAATAATATCACCTGGGCTTTTTTTAAAATACTTTACTGTATATTGTGTAACATGTGTGACTTCGGCTATAGGTGTGGACGAATGGGACATGTGAAAATAAGAAAATTCTTCTTGAGTTTTCGGACGCAATCTTTTTCGGGCATATCTTTTCTTGTGAAATAATTTCAGCCGACCGTTTTAGGTAAATCAATTCTATTGATTTTTTTTTTTTTTTGTTTTTATTTCTTTCTCTGTTCTGGTTTCTTTTGATAACCGTAATTATAACGTGACACTTTCTGCAATCTTATTTTCATTAGGTCATTTGGTTATACAACTTTGTTTGGATAGGAAATTTTCTTTAGTTGTGTTGTTGGAAAGCATGGAATCACTGTTGGGGCTAGAGTATGTGCTGCCCTGGGGAAACGCTTAAGTTTGCTTCCCTTCTCTCCTACCCTCACAAAAATACAACACATTTCATAGTGACTCCCTCTTACACACACACACACACACACAATCACCCACCCACACAATCACCCACCCACCTGCATATAAGTGGGCATTAAGGTCAACACTCAGCGGCAACAGTTTGTTTCATACTTTAAACACAATTTCCAGGCTTGATGATAGGGTTTAAGTGATGCAATCTAATGGTTATATTCTTCAAACTTCAAAGCAAAGAAAACAAAATGTGTGTATAGGTCTGAGAATTGTCCATTTTTATTGGCTAGGAATAAATCCCAGAATGCATCTGTAAGACCCCTCTCCATAAATTTGAGGGGAGAGAATTTTTCGTAGTTTTTCTGTGAGATTGAAACAACACCAAATTTCAAAGATTTATTAAAGTTAATTATCTTCTATATTTTTCAGTCTCTTATCCTTGTCATTAGTTTTTAACTAGTTTATTTTGTATCTTAATGTTACTAATTAGAATTCAAAACTGTGGAGAGCCATGATTGCTTCTGTCCTGAAAGGACATGGCATCTAAGAAAACAGTAACTATTTTAGGAGAAAGGAATGGGAAACCAGTCTACTCTCTTTCTCAAGCAGTCATGGCAATTCACAGATAATAGAGAAGGAATCTGAGAAGAGTCATGGTTGCTTCCATCCAGAAGGGAGAAGGCATTAAAAAAATAATGTTACTTATAAACACAGATTGGTTTTACTTTCTATAGACTTTAAGCAGAATGGATCAGAAATAAAGTAGCCTCTTGCAAGATTTGAACATATATACCATAATCTTTAGAGCCTGTCTGACACTGATGAGGCTTTACTAGTTTGGCTGTGACAAACCAATTATATCTAGGCATATAACTATACTTTCTCAGTTGGATTTTTCTGTAATATTTGTTGTGTACTACCTAGCAGTAATAGATATAGTAGTTGCTTGAATTTATTAGATGAAGTATTTTCATTACTCATTTCTGACTCATTAAAATATTAAATGACTTGAGTGCTTTGATAAAAAGCAGTATGAAAGACGATGTAAGTGTTTAATTTTAAAAAATTAGTTAACTTAAACCTATTGTCTTCATTTTAATGTTTTCTTTTAGTATAACTGTTGAATTCTTCAATACTTTGAAATTTTGTCTTTGACACCAATTATGCCTGTTGTTTGTTTTGCATGTCTTCAACAGCCGAAAACTTGTGTTCTGGTTAAGATATAAAAGAAAAACTTGACTACTAAATACAACTGAATGCAACATACTTGCGAGGAAATGTTAAATATAGATGAAAAGGGAAAATAATAGTTTCCAGATGTATATATAGTCCCTTAAAAATCATCTCAAGGCAAATTTTATTCTTGTTACAGCAAATTTGCTATTCCAAAGCTTCTTGTCTCATAAGTTTTTCTGATCTTTCATTATAAATGTTATATATGCCGTGCGGCGATGGCTTAGTGGTAGAATCTTCGACTGACGCCAATTCAGCCGAGCATCAATCCTAAATAGAGGCAACCAGATGTCTAGCCACACTGAAGAGCTGTGATACAGTGAAGCAGTCTGTCTGTGGATGACTATATATATATATATATATATATATATATATATATATTCAAACCAATTATAAAATTAAAAAAGAAAATTTAATTTCGAGCTCCCACTATAAATGTCTAAAAAATAAAAAATAACTAAATCATTCCTCCTGTTATTTTTTTGTTTTCATACATATTTATAAAACAATGAAGCATACAAAGATACTAATAAATTAGTAAGGTTAATGTAATAAATCGCAAATTTACTTTGTTAACAAATTTAAAAAATATTAACCCACTAACCACTCATTGAATGATTTTTTTTACCTAAAAAGAAAAATAATATCCATGCCTGATGATGATAGGTTGACCTATCGAAAGTACTAGCATACAGAATATCTAAAAACAAGGATGGCATCATTCAATGACTGGTTAGTGGGTTAATACTTTTTAAATTTGTTAGTGAAGTTAATTTGCCATTTATTACATTGTTACTAATTATTTTTTGTATGATTGCTTCATTGTAATATTATACTACCAATCATATATATATATATATATATATATATATATATATATATATATATATATAGAAAAAGTTTCAAATTAAAAATTATAATGTTTTATTTTATGAAAGTATTTATTTATATATATATATATATATTTGATATTTCAAATTGTCCTCAATTTTTCATCAGAAATAACTGTTTGTTTGGACGTTCCATATCACGAAGAACGCTACTTGCTAACAAACAGTAATTTTAATTTATTTGTAACAAACAGTTATTTCTGATGAAAATTGAGGACAATTTGAAATATCAAATATATATATATAAATAAATAAATACTTTCATAAAATTAAAACATTATAATTTTTAATTTGAAACTTTTTCTATATATACATATTAAGAAAGTATACGTGGCTTCTCATTATGTTATATAAGGCCTCCAATTTGTTAAAAATAATAAAAGCATTACCAGTTTTTATACTTTTCCTCAAATTTTAAAAATTTGCTTTGTGGTATTTTTAGATTGTTTTTTTAGTTTTTGCACAGTATTGAAACATGTTAAATGTACATTAAAAATTTATTTCTTTTGCAGTTATGTAATGTTTGTCACTTTTTTTCTAATCATTTCATCTCAAGCAAGTTAACTTAAGGAGAGAGGAAAAAAAAAAAAGAACAGGAATTAAAAAGACAGAAGATAACGATTGGTATTTCATTTAAACTTTTGAAGATCAAATTTGACTTGGAATCAAGGATTTGGAAGAGAGTTCCACAAGCAAACTGTTAGCATAGAACTTATGGTTACATTTAGCCATTCCAGCTGTAAAATGATGAGATTTTGCTCCCAATTTAGTATTGTGCTTTAATTGTAGTAGAAAAATTATGTCATTAAAACTTCATATTTTCTAAAACATTTATAATAAAATGCATTATAATATTTATTAACAAAGTTGCAATAATTAAGCTTGATATTTTTTTTGTTGTGTAACTGATCATAATAAAATAACATTTTTCTATTACAATAATAATAAAACAATAATGAAATAATATAATAATAAAAACATAACATAATTAATAAAATAATCATATATTTCTAAAATTTCTATAATATTTCTAAAATAACATTTTTCTCACAAGATTGAAAATGTTGAGAAAACAAATGTGAAAACTACATTAAAAATGAATTTTTTTGTTTTTTGCAATTATGTAATGTTTGTTGCATTGTTAGTAGAAAAATGAAAATGGCATTCATGTTCTAAAAATTTTATAGAAAAAATGCATTATAATATTTTATTATCAAAGTTGCAATAATTTAGTTTTCTTTTCATTCATTTTCTATGGCTTATCAACCCTTTGCAGGTTATTTAAAGCCAGAAAATATTTTTAGATTGTAAGATATTTTTTTTTTACTAATTAACTCATAGCTAGGGGAGAAGTGGTGGATTATACCTTTCTCAAGGGTGTTTGTACGTAAGTAAATACGATGAACTGAACGCAAATTAGAACTCGGCTCTCTGATTCAAAATTCCGAGCCATTATCCGCAACATCACCCGTGCATTCAAACTTACAGCACCTATTCCCAAGCAGTCACCCATCTAGGTACTGACTAAGCTTGACTTGGATGATTGTATGGGAACTGGTGTTTTAGCATGATGTGGCTGTAAGCTTCAATAATTTAGGTTTTAATCTCTTCATTTTCTGTGTAACTGATTATGGTTAAGTAGTTTTGTCTTCAATGTTAGTCCTTCCGATCTTTGCCATTAATTACTCGATCTAACAAGATTGATTCCTGGGCAGTGAGATGGATATTTATGTATAAATGAAAATCAATATATAGGGGCTTCAAGTTGGTTAGTTCTCTTATTAAAACACCTCTACCTTTTTTTTGCAAAAGCAGGTATTTTTTTTTTGTTGCTGTTCTGTTTAAATCGACTCATTTGTCTTGTTTTTTTTTTTGTTTTCCTCTTGTAGATCCAGGCTGTGGATAGTCCAGATAGTGCCCCAACAACACCTATCTCCACCACCTCTAAAGAAGTAACCACTCCATCAGAAGTCAAAAAAATAAACCGAAGATCCGGTATCAGACCACCAAGTTTTATTGGCAAAAGTAAGAAATCTTCAGGTTTTATATGTAACAAATTAACTTACATCATTTTATCATAGTTAATTTCAATAGTATTTGAACTCTGAGAAGCAGTGTTCAAATTCCAGCTGGCTTTGTTACAGGCAAATACCCTTGGGGAAAGGCTTCAGTCCATCTTTTTTTTTTCCCAGTTATAGTTTGAATAGTTGTTTTTTTAGTTGTATTTTACAATTTATCACCCTTTTGGAGGTTATTTAAAGCCAGAAAATATTTTTAGATTTTTAAGAAATTTTTTTTTGGAGATCATGATTTACTGATACAAGTGCTACTAATTAACCCATAGATGGGGGAGAATAGGTGGATTCATACCTTTCCCAAAGGTATTCACACATAAATGAATATAACAGACCCAACTGGAATTGGAACTCCAATTTTAAAGTTATTATCCGTTACACCACCCACACACCCAAACTTACAGCACATGGTATTCCCAGGTGCTCATCCATGTAGGTACTGAACAATATTGCTTAACTTTGGTGATTGTATGAGAATCAGTGTTTCAATGTGATCTGGCTGTAAGCTGTTTTGAATAACAAGATAAACTGGCTCCTGTAACCTTGGTTGGCAACCAGTCTACTGCAGAAAGAAACAGCAGCTTATTAGTGGAAAACTGCCTAGTCAGTCATGGATCAGAAGAGACATGTTCACCCAAGAGTGTATCATGTATATAACTGACAGCATATATTCCAATGACTAGTAACTGGTTTAGTTATTATTTTTAGCAACTGGCAGGGAATATGTACCTGCAGTTCAGTTGAAAGTAAATTAGTGTATCTACCTTTTGCAATGTCAGCAAACACTCTTTTGACACTTTTGTGATGTCAATGAATACTCGTCACTTTTGAAATGTTTGTTTTAGTAGAGACTTTGTAATTGCAGATAAATAATACGCTGTTGAATAATACCGGTGTCAGATACCTTCGAATAACACTCGCACTAATAGTACTTACTTGATAATACTTGCTCAAACGGTAATTCATATAGTGATCTGAATAGAGAAATAGTATCGTGAAGAGTAGAGAATAGCGGTCTGTATAGTGATAGCGGATAGGATACAAATGGTAATACAGGATTGACTAGGAATAATGATTGTTAGTCGTCAGCTCTTTTCTACATATATGTGTTTCCTCTATGGTCACATGGTCTACTTAATTCAATAATAGGATATCCTGTGTTCACTCACTAGCGATTTATGTTCAAACTCGTGTGTTGGCAGTGACACTTTATTCCTATATAACACTACCAAAAGTAGTTAGTTATATGTTATTAGGGTAATAAAAACGGACATATTAAAAGACAATTCATAACAAAAAAAAGTAGAGGTAACAAAAAAAAAAACCTGCCTTACCGCAAAATGGTAATATAAAAAAAATAGGAACAGTTAAAAAGACAGCTGAGTTGGTGTATTTGTCCTCTCTCATCAGAGCAATATAACATTCAATGTCTAATTACCTTTAGGCCTACTGACAACTCCTGCTTATAGAGAGAGGGCTGGTAAAACTTAATGTATACAAATTCCCAAACTTTCAAGTGATACTTGGAATTAACCCTGCTTAGCATTTAGAACATATCTGGGCTATAAGACTAGGCATACTACTGGCTTTTAATCAAATTTTCAGCTCTAGGTAAAATTGTTCACCTTTCTCTTGTAAATATTGGTTGGTACATGTTGGTTGATCGATGCTTCCAACCTTTGACTCGATCTGCCTATACAATCAGCATTGGTAAAATTACTGAACTAACATGATAGGCAGGCAGAACACAGACCACCCCCAACACAGGTATGGCAAAAATAAAAGATGTATGGATTGACAGAAAAAAACAACAGTTCCTTACACCAACAGAAATCTACCCAGCAAATCCTTCCCCACCTTTCCAATCCATAGCACACACAGATGGGACACTTTTGAAGACCAGTTGGCCCTGGCCCATGAAACCATCATATTCTCTCTTAAATGCTGGACCTCACAACACCCAAAAGGCACCCACTTTCACTCAGAACCCTTTGAATTCAACTTCAGCATTCAATTCAATTACAAAACAAACTACCAAGATTTGATGAACCAAGGCTTCAATCAAGTTGACCTCCTGCTGCTCAGAACAAAAGTAATCCCACTGTGCACACACTCATAAAAGCTGGTTTCCAGTACACTAATGTAAGAAATCCTGAATCTGATCTAGACCATGACCCCAAGAAAAGATTTTCTATGTATGATTGGACCCATTCTGTAGCCCACTGCAGGGTCATTGGTTGAACACATGTACTACAATAGCAATAAGAGTTGTGTCCAGGGCTAGATAGCTTGACAAATCCTGTTCCTCTTTAAAGCTCATTTTCAGTTATCCTTTTAGAATGTCTCCCTACCAAGGCTAAAGGACCCAGCCTACCTTGCAATTTTACCCATAGCTAGAGGCAGAATATTGAAATGAATGACAACTGCCTCAGTTGGAATTTGAACTTTGTCCACTGATTCTATTTTTCTCTGCAGGTAACGATTATACCACTGCGTCTACATCTGTTGTTTATATATTGATGAATTAAATAACAACATATTAATGTGGCACAAGGCTGAAGGGGAAGTGGGGAAAGGCTGGTCAACACTGACTATCCTACACCTAGATAATGTGACTCATGACCCATTCATTCTGACAATTTCCTCAATCACTACAAGAACCCATCCTTCTCCATTTGATCCAACATCTACAATATCACATATTTGCAGGGTCCTACTAAAACATCATGATGTAAAAATTTTAAAATATATATATATATATATATATATATATATATATACATATTTTTAAATTTTATATATATATATATATATATATATATATATATATATATATATATATAGTTTTCTTTTTTATATTGGGAAATTATCCTTTTCTTCTTACAAGACAATGTCAGACCACTTTATGATCATTATATTTGTTAAACTATGAAAATGTATTGCAAACCTATTAATCTAAATAAAAATGTGTTGGTGATGCAAGGCGTTGCTAAAAAAAATGAGCGGATGCATTGTCATGTAAAATGCAGTGGGTACTTGAACACACACAATTTTGTCTCACTGCCATGTGGCCAAATAAGTAATCTTGCAAGAGTGTGTCTGTTCATACATGCATGGTAAAGTCCCTTCTGATTGGTTGGTAAATTACATCAGTGCCATGCAAGCATATTCAAAATGGTCAGATAGTTTCTGGGCAAATCTCAAATGTTATAGACATCTGTTATACAAGGGTGTGGTGATGACAATTTCCCTACCTTTCTAAAGTCATTATTTCTTCAGAATACTAGTTTTTTGGGGTGGTTGTTGGGCTGAGAATTTTCATATATTATCAGACTGAGATTGAAGAAATGTTAACAAAAAATTTGGATGATGTGACCATCAAAAAAAATTACTTAGACTTAGTTTTCCCTGTCTACAAACTAATCTTTCTCCCTTTCATTGGCTCAAAAAGGATAGCAGCAAAAGTCCATACTACATTTCAGTTTACACATGCTTTTCAAATTATAAATTTTTCATTGGCATCTCATGTTGAAAAGGCATTAATGATGAACTGTTTGAAGTGATGTATTATAAAAAGTTATTGATTTCAAAACTATGTTACCAGATTCAAAAAACATCCTTCAAAACTTCTATTGAAGGAATTTTGCTGACGTCATGATTTTCTTTGCCTAGCAGCAAGCAGTTGCATTGACCCCCGACAAATTTTGGTGGCATAACTACATGACTCATCATGGTGGCCTGAAGGTTAATAACATCATGACAAATAGTAATACAAGATTGACTAGGAATAATGATTGTTAGTCGTCTGCTCTTTTCTACATATATGTGTTTCCTCTATGGTCACATGGTCTACTTAATTCAACAATAGGATATCCTGTGTTCATTCACTAGCGATCTATGTTCAAACTTGAGTGTCGGTAGTGACACTTTATTCCTATATAACACTGCCAAAATAGTTATTTATATGCTATTAGGGTAATAAAAATGGACATATTAAAAGACAATTCATAACAAAAAAAGTAAGGGCAACAAAAAAAAAAACGCCTTACCGCAAAATGGTAATATAAAAAAATAGGAACAGTTAAAAAGACAGCTGATTTGGTATATTTTTCCTCTCTCATCAGAGCAATATAACATTCAATGTCTAATTACCTTTAGGCCTATCGACAACTCCTGCTTATAGAGAGAGGGCTGGTAAAACTTAATGTATAGAAATTCCCAAACTTTCAATTTCAAAACTATATTACTAGATTCAGAAAACCTCCTTCAAAACTTCTAAGGAATTTTGCTGACATCATGATTTTCTTTGCCTAGCAGCAAGCAGTTGCATTGACCCCACAAATTTTGGTGGCATAACTACATGACTCATCATGGTGGCCTGAAGGTTAATGACATCATGACTCTCTCTGCCAATCAACACCAAGCTCTTCTGAAAAAACCCAGCTTAAAGATGAAATCACCACCAATTTTCTGTGTCATGTGTGTCGCTAATGTTGTTACCTCATGTTTTTTTTCTCATAGTATGTTTTGCCTGTTATGTTTTCTTTTTGTCTAATTTTTGAAAAATAAGTTGTTTTTCTCATAAGAATTTCTTGATTCTTTTTGTTGTCATCCTCAATAGGCACAGAGAACATTGCTGATTCTGAGTCGCGGTCAAGTTCTAAAGAAGCAAGTCCCTCAACCAGCATGATGGAAATCAGCATGACATCTAGCCAGGGCAGTATGTCCTCTAGTCGTGAGAGCAGTGGCATTCCCACCAGGACCTCTCGCAGCAGAGAGACTACCCCTAGTGAAGATAAGGCCATGTCCTTGTCTACAGAAAGTTCAGCTCCAGTTTCTCAGGTAAAAAAAAAATGTGTTCATTATACTGTTAGAAAGCAGGTTTGAAAATGGAATTTTAGTTTATTGCTGAAGTCGACACAGGAAGGTAAACAAATCAGGTAATAAGTGTTGATCCAGAAATTGAAAGAGATAAATAAGAAGGAAAAAATTCAAATGATAAAACAAAGTCACACGTTATTTAAAATAATGTGATATTAATGACATGTATTTATATCTTTGGGTATACTTTCTTGTATGACATAGTGGTATCAGAAAATCCTTTTGTGAACAATACATATTTGTCGTTCCATTCTTTCAGCTTTTCTGTTCTGTCCATTATATTAAGATGTTAGTATATAGTGGATATACTCAAGGAACAATGGGAAACTGGAAATATTCTTTCTTGCCTAGCAAGTTTTTAGTAAAGTGTTTTGATAAAAGAAAATTAGAGTGTAGTATGTATGTATGTATGTGTGTGTGTGTATATATATATATATATATATATATATATATATATATATATCTCCAAATGTACAGCCGGTTAGATCAGGGCTACAAGAATGTAGGACACCCATGGCTAAAATACAAAGACAAGCTGAAAAGTAACTTGTCAGCTGTCAATATACTGCATAACACTCTTGAGCACTTAGCATTGGAGCAGGTAGAATGGAGATCGTGTTTTAGTGGACTCGGCAGTTTTCAATCTGCTTGTCTGAATTATCTTCAAGAAGTGAGAGCAAGATCTAAAAGGTCAGCCAATCTAACAGTGATCTCATCTCACAATCCTCACTCTTGCTCCATATGTGGTCTCTTTTGTAAATCACTACCGGGTCTTAAGTGCCACTTAAGATTATCACACAAAATTTCCTAACTGAATCAATTAAGCTGTCAGATCCTCATACGTTGAAACCGACGGGAGAGAGTCCATTTATTTTTATATTTATATATATATATATATATATATATATATATATATATATATATATGGTGGACTCTCCTATTGTGAACAATAAATCAGGGTCAGCATTGGATGGTGCTTTTTGTTTTACACTTATGCATGCTAGCAGAGGCTATTGTAGAGAAAATCAGGTAAGGGAAAGACATATTTCATTTGTGCTTTCTTAAGTGTGATACTAGCCTTGCTGTGGGCGACAAAGCCACACTGATAGATGAAATTTTTTAAAGTGGGATTTTGATGGCGTCTCTGCTTTAAAGCTTGATGAAGCTGATCACAGTACTTCAGTCTACTGTCTTCAAAGCCCTTTAACTTAATGAAACATGACTTAAGGCCACTTTTTTCAGTTTGATGCTTGGGCTTCTCAGGTTTTCAGATCAAAGTTTAGACGTTTCAAGTTGTCTTTCAATTTGTCTTTGTAGTGTAAGAGTGGACGTTCAACTGAACGTATGGAGTTTGGTAGTTGTCTATGCACCACCTTTTTGGAAGCCTATGCTCATCCGTTTTCACGACATGACCAACCCACCTATGTTGTATCTTTGCTAGAATGGTTTCAATGCCTGTGATGTTGCACTATTCTTGACCCTGTCATCTCATTTTATATCACATATGGCATAAAGTGTATGTGAAAGGCGTCAAATTGATTTTTGTGTTTGTGGTACAGGGTCCAAGTTTCAGTGCCATAGAGAAGGTTTGAGAGAATGACTGATCTGTAGATGTCAATCTTTATTCTGAGAGACACGTCTTTGGTGTTCCATAACCTATGTTTAAGTTTATCGAATGCTGTGCTGGCTTTGTCTATTCTGGATTGGATTTCTGTCTATTTTTCCATCAGAAGAGACTGATGACCCAAGATATGTGAATGCCTCAACAGTTTTTAATGCTGTACCATCAATGAATACGGAAAGATTTGTGATAGATGGATTGCCTGGTACTGGCTGATACATTAGCGCAGTCTTCTTTATGTTGATAGTGAATCCAAATGCTTTCGCACATATATATATATATATATATATATACACACACACATTTGAAAAAATGTTCATGAATGTATGCTTTGAAAATAATATTTGATAATGCATTTCACCTATATGGCTTCATCAGATGGATAATAAAAAATATGCTGTGTGTATGCATTTGTGTGTGTTTAAAATAATTAATTTTTATAATATTTTTAGTCGCAAGCAATGGCAGCTTGGGAAAAATGATATAAAATTTAATTATTTTAAGCATATACAAATGCATACGCACACAACACACTTTTTGTTATCTATCTGAGGAAGCCAAATAGTCAAAATGCATTATTACATGAAGGTTTTTCCAAATGTCAATAACTTATAACTCTGTCTAGATTAAATACCCAAATTTGCTATATATATATATATATATATCTACTTACTCTGTCCTGGACATTGAGTTCTACCTGGATTCTATCCTCTTGGGAATTTATTTTTATATATATGTGTGTGTGTGTGTGTGTGTATATATATATATATATATATATATATATATATATATATATAAACTGCGTACCAAATTATTATCGAGATAACTTTTTTCTAATATTTCAAAAACCGTCCAATCAATTCATACAAAATTTTGTTTACATTGCGCAGATAAGTATGAAAATTTCAGTGATTGCGCAGCTCAGTGTTGCCAACATTGTGTGAATTGATTGGACAGTTTTTGAAATAGTAGAAAAAGTTATCTCTATAATAATTTGCAAACAGTATGTATGTATGTATATATATATATATATGACCACTAATATTATCAATATATATATATATATATATATATATATATATATATATATATATTGACCACTAATATTATCAATATATATATATATATATATATATATATTGACCACTAATATTATCAATATATATATATATATATATATATATATATATATATATATATATATATATATATATATATATATATATATATATATTGACCACTAATATTATCAATATATATATATATATATATATATATATATATATATATTGACCACTAATATTATCAATATATATATATATATATATATATATATATATATATATATATATATATATATATATTGACTAATATTATCAATATATATATATATATATATATATATATATATATTGACCACTAATATTATCAATATATATATATATATATATACCACTAATATTATCAATATATATATATATATATATATATATATATATATTGACCACTAATATGCTATATTATAAACAGCATGCTATATTCAAATTTTTTGATTTCCTCTAAAGAATAAGTCTTACTTAGTCATTTGTAAACGTTGCATCAGCCCGGCACCATGGCTTAAACGCTAAAAAACTTGATTACTCTGTGAGACAAGCTATTGTGAAGCTACACAAGGAAAAGCACACCATTAGAGAGATTTCAGAGAAAGTGAAACGTTCCAAGAGTGTTGTAGGCAGGGTTGTTAAATCCTACAATGATACTGGCAAAATAGTTAGTGCTTTTAAAACCGGCAGACCCCATAAAACTTTGGCAAGAGAAGATCGAATAATGCAGCGTATGTCATTAAAGGACCGTTTTAAGTCTTGCACAGAAATTAAAAGGGTTATGAATAGTACCTCATGTGTTAATGTGTCAAGACAGACTGTTTGTAGACGACTGCAAGAAATAGGGCTGTTTAATCGAACCCCAGGGAAGAAAACCACTTGTTAGTTCGAAGAATAAGAAGAAGAGATTAGAGTTTGCAAACAGGTATGTAATTTGGACATATGAAAATTGGGCAAAAGTATTTTCAGTGATGAAAGCAAGTTTAATTTATTTGGAAATGATGGAAAAACAATGTAAAGAGACGTATTGGTGAAAGATCAAGTGCAAAGTGTACTAAGAAAACTGTCAAGTTTGGGGCGGAAGCGTCATGGTATTTGGAATGTTTTCTAGCCAAGGTACAATGCCTCTTGTCCGGTTACAAACTCGTAAAAATTGCAGATCTATAAAAACATTGTTCAAGATCATGTTGTGCCAATCATACAGAATTCAGGTTTCGATAGGGTTACCTTTATGCAAGATAATGCCCCATGTCACAAGGCAAAGGTGGTAATGAGTTACCTTAGCGAGCAAGATTTGGAAATTATGGATTGGTCACCGCAAAGTCCTGACTTAAATCCAATAGAAAATCTTTGGAAGACCTTAGGAGTGAAAGTTATGGAAAGAAATCCCACTAACACGGAGGATTTGTGGGTGAAGCTTCAAGAAGAATGGTCTAAAATTAGTATCGAGGATTGTCAAGAACTAATTCATTCTTGTAGTCGAAGATGTGCAGCTGTCATTGAGAGCAAGGGCTCATTTACTAAATATTGATTGTACATGTATTTTTATTGTTTTTTTGCCGTTTAGATTGTTTTTCTCAATTTTGTCCCTTACTTTTGGACGTTTCAAATTTGAAAATAAATAAATAATTGTTATAATTCTTTTTCTATCCTTTGCAAATGATTCAAATTTTAGTATGATATTATGGATGATAACGACTACCAGTTGTCAAAATTTCAGCTTTTCACAGTTGTTATTTCTAACAAATATTAGGTTTTAAAATTTTGTCCCTTAGTTTTGGACGCTACTGTATATTGACCACTAATATTATCAATATATATATATATATATATATATATATATATATATATATATAAAAAATGTGTCCTTTATCCGAAATTCCATGATCCAAAAGTTTTTCAGGTGCTGACATGACTTACCACAAATGGAAAATTTTAGAAATCTTTGGGAAGGTCCCTAGCTGTTGTAAGTGACCTCATCTGCTCTGAGTGGGAGTTCCCCAGCCCAGCTATGTAGTCTACATTATCGTCAGTTTTTGTTAGTGTTCATCACAGCAACGCCTTTGTTCATAGATTACTTACCAGGTGTTTCATGTACAGTAACGATATTATTCAAAATGTCAAAAATTTCTACATTTATATATTTTTTCTAAGTAGCGATCATGTTATTTTGGACACATACAGAAAGTACAAGATATTATTTTTACGTGGAATCTTAATTTTACCACTTAAAAATCCCTGTGAGCATTTCATGAACAGTGTCATTACCTGTATCTTTATATACAAAATCATTTATTAAATTTTATATAAAACTAATTTCAGGGTATATGTTATTTATATAAAACTACCTTCAGGGTATATGTATAAGGTGTGTTATGAAATGTAGAGGGATATCCTGTTTATGCTCAAGTTCTATTCCCAAGCTGCTACATACAAATTAAATAGCCTGTATTCCAAAATCTGAAAACCAAAGCACTTCCTGCTTTAAGAATTTCAGATAAAAGATTCTCAACCTCTCTCTCTCTAGTGTTCCAATTCATCAGGTGATGTTTGGTAACTTATGATGAAAAAGATTTACTTTTGAAAACAGAAAACAATACATTAGTTTATTTATGGTTTAAAAAAGGAGGTGGGGATAAGATTTCAAAGTTTTATGGATATGTCTAGATTAACCAATCAAAAAACAGGTCATTTCTGAAGCAGAAAAGTGTGAAATATAGACAGTAGGTTATAGGTAGCTGAGTTATTCAATCCTGTCTGGGTGAACTGACATTTATTTAGAATGTGTCACTATTTGCTAACATCCAGTTATGTATCCAATTAAGATATACTGAATCATAAAGAATTTTAATATTTTTTTTTTTTATTAATAATTTTTTTCTATGCTTGAGAACTGTCTTAAACAACCTTATTGAAACAACTTTTCAATAAGGTTGTTTAGGTTTGAGAATGATTTACTTGATATAGTTAACAAATATCTCCTTTCATAAAAGAAAAGATCAATTCTCAAGATACCTTGACCATGTTGTAACTGATATAAATAAATCTGAAATAGTCTTTGTAAAATCTTATACAGTGCTGTTTGATAAAAGTGACTCACCTGATTTTTTTTACTAAATGTTCTCTTCTCTGATGAAACGAAAGTTGAGCTAAATTCAAAGGATAAGCGATCTAAGATCCGAAGAAGAACCTTTGAAAGCTCTTTGAATTTTAGCAGTAAGTACTGTCAAGAATCCGTTCAGTATAATGTTCTGGAGATGCTTTTCTTTTCATGGAACTGGTTTCTTAAAACCTATTAAAAAGACCCTCAGGAGCGAGCAGTACAAGATAATTTTAGAGTCTTGTCTGCTCCCTTCTGCTGAAAGGGTGCAAATTGACCCCACCAAGCTCATTTTTATGCAGGATAATGCTCCCTGTCACAAATCAAAATTGATGAAGGAATACTTTGATGAGAAGCAGATGAGTGTTATGACATGGCGCCTAATCTCCTGACCTCAACCCCATAGAAAACTTATGGAGCATTATAAAGTACAGGCTCTCGAGAAAGCAGTTGAGCAACAAAGAGGATTTAATTAAGAATTTCATATCCGAATGGAATTCAATGCTTGGAGATGAGATTTGCCAGAACCTAATCAAGTCAATGCCAAAAAGGGTTGAAAAGGTTATTCAAAATAAAGGAGGACCCATAGATTATTAAATATTTCGAACGATATTACCTATTATAAAAAAAATTATACCTCTATTATTCTTTATTTAAAGCTGTTCAATTATGTTTCTATTGATTACTAGTTGCAGGAAATAAGTGAGTCACTTTTTTTGCATAGTTTTTCCCTAAATCTCATTTATATCCAAACCTTAGGGTGAGTAAACTTTTTTACTAGGTGGTCGAGAAGGGGTCTTTATATTAGTAAGATTAAAAATTAGTTTGACCCCAAAAACAATAGGTGAAAAAATTTTTAAAAAAAAAAAAAAAAATCAGGTGAGTCACTTTTATCGAACAGCACTGCAAAACTGCAAATTTCTACAAAACAACAGACAAGGATTATAATACTCTTATTAGAAAAAAATTAATGAAAAAAACTATAAAAAAGTAAATAATAATGTAGTTAATTTGGTAGATAGTATTAATGCATCTAGTAAAAATATCACTGATAATCTAAAAATTAGTGATAGCACAAAAGAATGTTACATAACCATCAAGGACCACGAACCTGACTTTGAAACAAATCCTACTACCAGGATCATAAACCCAAACATTGCCTGATGAATTGGAACAAATTTCAGTTTCGAAACATGATAGCTTTTGTGTAGCGATGTAAATATTTTTCAATTAAAAATATGATTAAAATATATTTTGCTCTACGTTGTATTGAGCATTTGTTTAAAAAAAGTAAATGCTAAAGAATGGTAGATTTTTAATCTGTCTGTTCTTTTCCTTTATTTGGATGTTCTTGAGTCTGGATTTTGCAATGATATTTACTGAGATCAAAATTAAATCCATTTTTTGATGTTGTTTGATTTTCAAGCATGTTTAAAATAAAACTTTTCAAAATTCTTATATATTTATCATTCTGTTGGATTTGCATCCAAATTTAAATTATATATATATATATATATATATATATATATATATATATATATATATAGCCTGAAGATTACATTCAAGAATAAAACACTGTCACCACTTGGTGTTGACCTCAGTGTACACTCTTATATTTACACATGCTCTCTCTTGGATATTGGTCACTATTAGTCATAAACATAGCAAACCTTTATATATATATATATATATATATATATATATATATATATTAATTTCTTTTCATGAATGTCTGTATACTTTATTACATTGTGCTCTTCAAAATGATTTTTATAACTAAGAACCATTCATCTGCTTTGAAGGTTAACTTTTTAATTTGTCCATTGATGTAATTACCTAAAATATGACTTGCTAATGAAATTTCTTGCTATTGTGCATGTAATTATTTTTTTTTTTGTTCTCTCCACCAGGCAGCAGCAGCTGATGTGAGTGCTATGAGAGCTCCAATGGAAGACAAAGTGGCGGTCATGCAGGCTGAACAGGAAAATGCTGGCCTTAAAGCTGAAATTAGGGACCTTAATGAAAAACTGGAAACTCTTAAGATGAAACGTGCTGAAGATAAAACCAAACTAAAGGAGTTTGAGAAATTGAAAATTGAAATGCAAGTTGTGAGTATCAAGTTTCTTTTTTTTTTTCATGGTTTTTCTTTAAATTTCTTGGACATGAATGAAATATAATTTGGAGTCACTTAGATGTTATTGAATTTTTATACTTTCAAAAATGCTAAAAATACCTTCTGCATTAAGAAAATCAAGATATAGACATGTTTAGTTGTTTTAACTTATTAAAGGAAGCATTATCACTTATTATTCATTTTTGACTAGTATTTCTTTCATCTTATTTCTCTTGCTTTTCCAACAAGTAGTAATAGTCTGAGAGAATTGGAAATCCTACCAAGATACAGCATCGGCGGCCACAATCTTAACAACATAAGATACGCCAATGACACTGTACTGATAGCAGACACGGAAAAGAAATTACAAAACCTCCTACAGAAGGTAGTGAAGGAGAGCAAGAAGAAGGGACTAAACATAAACTACAAGAAAACAATGCATGGTCATCAGTAAAGGGATGAGCCTGAAATATGATTTGCAGGTCCGGGACACTAAAATCAAGCAGATGTGGAAGTTTAAATATCTGGAAAGTGTTTTGATGGAGGACGGTAAGTGCAAGGCTGAGATCCAAAGATGTATTGAGTTGGCCAAGGACGTATTCCAAAAGCTGGGCAAAGTATTACAAGACAGGAGAATTTCTTTGCTAACAAAGAATAGAGTACTGAGCTGTTATGTGACATCTGTCCTCCTTTATAGCAGCGAATGTTGGATGGTCTCGTCAAAGATGAAGAAGCAGCTTGAGGCAAAGGAGGTATGGTTCTACAGAAGGATGCTAAGGATATCATGGACTGAGCATGAGAGCAATGATGATGTTATGGAGAGGAAGCAAACAAAGATGAAGCTTATACTTCAGGAAGAGGCAGCTGAAATTACTGGGACATGTAATGAAAAAGGAGGGCCTGGAGAATTTGATACTCTCAAGTTGAATAGAGGGAAAGACAGACAAGGGAAAGCAACACATGATATACCTGGCAGACTTAAGTGGATGACAGAACATAGTCTGAGGGAGGTGGCAGAGGGACAAAACTTATTGAGAGCTACAAGGGATAAGGGTAAGTGGAGAGCCATGTTCGCCTACATTCTGAAGGGACATGGCACATAAAAAGAAAAGAAGCAATAGTCTGAAGTCTGTATTTCTTAAATGCATTATAAAGTATTATTTTTTTCCTCATATTTCTTTCATTTTTTCTCTCCCCACCCAAATGCTCAGGTTGTAGTTATATTCTATGACCCTTAACTAAACAGAGTGGATTGAAAATAAAAACTCGTGTTGAACAAGATTTAAACTCTCATTTCATATCCTTTAGAATCTATCTTACATAAACTGTACCTTACTGATTAAGTGATGGAAACTTACCAGCATCCAAAAGAATATAAGATGCAAGTTCAAATCTCATCAGAGGCTCTGCTGTAATAAAATAATTTGGATGGACCATGAAATTTGCCTTGATTATGATTGGTAGTTTTGGGAGCCTCGTTATTTTTCCATTTTAGTATCAGGATGTTAAAAATAAAACTCCTTTTGTCTTGATTAGGACATAAATTGCAGCAAGGAATTCAAACATCATAAATGAGATCCCAAAGAATAATAATTTGCCTTATGTGGTGAGAGGGATTTATTTGTGTAGGTAGCTCACAAATTGAATTTAAATTTGAGTTAGCTTAAAACTGGGAAAATTTAGAAATGTACTCTTTATCCCTTTCCAGAATGCATATACAAAAACAGTAAAGAGTTGAGTAAACTTCAGTGACACTTTTAAGATTTCCCTATCATTGTATAAAAAGATGGTGCTGGGAATATTTGAAATCTGAAAGTGTTAATGTCAAAATCCTTGTATATGATTTCAATATGTCAGTTGATGGAAGCATTTATGGTTTCTCTCTTTTTTTTTTTTCTCACTCCAGATGACAGAGAATAAAGTCAAAATGAAGGAAATCAATAATGAATTAAATCGGAAACTTCAGACAGCTGAAAAGGTAAGGCAAAAAAAATGTACTGCAAACAATGGGTGAAGCTAATGTTAAAAATTTGTGGGTATCTCAGCTACTGCCCTTATCAGTCAAGATTGGACCTGTTAGTGTTGGATAAATAATAGCCCCTAACATCTTTAGATATTATTGACCTGACAGAATATTCCTGTATTTGTTTGGTTTATTGAACTTGTTGCTTTTGTAGCTGCAACAATCATGTGGTTGAGCCATTCTACAGATGTATAAGAAGAATCTTTCTCATATACCATTTCCAATTGGCTGACCAATTCTTCAGATGTATGAGAAAAAAAATAACTTCATTAAGCTAACACCGACTGGCTGGCTAACTGACTCCAGTAGGGGCGAGTGACGGGTCTACTGACTGGCTCCAGTAGTCTGGTTGACTAACTCTTCAGATGTATGACGTAGAAAGTCGTCATTCTGACTCAAACTAGACTAGTTGACTGCTGGCTGACTCAATCCCAGCTGTATGTACTATATGTATAATTCTATTCTTAGTAACCCTTATGACTCAAGTGATTCCATATTTTTCCATGTAGAGATGTTCTCCAATTCTATTCCTATTAAGGATTGGTGTTCAAACATATTGATGATTCCACATCACATAACTTACACATTTATCTTTGAGGTTAATATATACCACAACCTTTTAGTGTTTTTTTTTCACTTTCCAGTGATGTGACCTAGCTTTTATTTAGACTTCATCCAAGACAAGGTAATATCAACCCTTCTTCTTCCAGATATTACTTAATTGAACAATGTTTTTAATGTACAAACAGTATGGTTGTCAGTGTTAATTTAAAACATCTCTTTTTATAAGCTTTTTTGTTAATTTTTTTTTTGTTTTTAAATAAAAGTAATTGACAGTGTTTATTTTTTTATGAGACTTGTGTGAACATTTATCTTTTTCCTAAGCATCTTCAATACTTGTATGTCACTCTCTCCCACTTAACAGGTGAAGAAGTGGAAATATTAATGTCATTTATTGCCAAAGGTGTTATATTTTGCTTTCTGATGTTTCAGAAAGCCATGGTCAGCCTTAGCAATAAAGTAAGTAATAATATAAAAATAATTTACAATGGTTTTAAAGTACAAGAAAAGTGATGCTGACAATTTGGAGCCTACTTTCTCATTAATGGAATAAGGATGATTCATCCTTCTATACGTGGCTTGATGGGTTTCAGTTGCAAAGAAACCAAGAAATGTATCTTGTCAGAACACATGCCATGGAGAGATAGTGAGAAGCTTATAGTGTTTTGCGTGTGGGGGAAAAAGTTGCAAAGGGGAAAATAATTAATCACCCACCAGGTAGCATATCATCTATGTTACTTTGTGGGTAATTAATTATTTTGGAGTCTATCAAGGCAGGCAAATGGAGATTGGGCAGCTTCAGAACAGATTTTTTTTTTTTTTTTTAAATAAATTCACCCCAAGCAAGGCAGGAGTGCCACTAGCACACAAGGGGTTACAGAGGATTGAGAACATGAGTAAAGAGGCATATTTGGGGGAAGGATACAGAGAAGGATGGGAAACAAGCTCAGGGTGTCAGATGTCGATTGACATGACACTTGAATATTTGAGGATTATAGCCATCGGGGAAGCAAGCAAGTAAGAGGAAGGGATTTTCACAGACGGGAAGTGAAGGCAAAGAAGCTGTTTGAGTAGAAGAGACAGTTACATTTAACCATTTTGACAGTGAAAGGTTGGGACCAAGATGCCAACCTAGTAGGTCGCTTAAATTCATGCAGTCCGGGAACCAGCGAAAGTAGCTCGTCAGAATAGTTGCCATGAAAATATTTGTAGAAGAGACAGAGGAAGGCCACAGCATGCCTGTGGGATAGTGATTGTAGACTAGATGCCAGATCAGGACCTACCATCTTGCATACTTGTCTCTGGATTTTGCTGAGGACCTCGATACATACAGCAGACCATATATGACAGCAATATTCCATTTTTGGTCTAATCTAACTCTTGTAAAGATGAAGTGTGGCAGGAGGACTCTATCAAGGCTGGAAAGTGAGGGCTGGGCATCACCAGCACAGATATGATAGCAATATTCCTGACTTTTGTAAAGAGATAGTATAGTAGGATGTATCAGATACTTATTGGAGTGGTACAATGAATTAACCATTTTTCCAGTAGCTTTAGCAATAGCTCAGATATGAATTCCACTTGAGGTCTGGGGAGAGCTTGAGTCTTAATAGTGATTCTAGACAAGGAGCCTCCATGAAAGAACACCCACCCATCATGATAGGTAAAATTTTGGGGTCTGTATTTGATTTTAGTTCTTTCCCTATTGAGCCAGTGGAGGATACATTATTGGTTTATCCAGATTTTTGGATGTTTGGTATTCCACATAGATGGTGACTAATTACAGGGTATGCTCTTATGCAGATCATTAACACACACACCCTATTATATATTATAATATATATATTATATTATAATATATATATTATATTATAATATATATATATATATTATATTATAATATATAAATATATATATATAAAGCCTATTACTCAACACATGGCCTGAAAATTGGTATGAGCCTATCTGATAGATAAATGCACATGATTGTTATATGGTATATATATTTTAATTTATTGCTTAAATGTTATTTTTTAATGGATAACCATTTTTGAGATGTGTTTATTTGTTAAACTATCGGCCTGAGCATTTGAGAAATCTTATAAAAAAAAATATGCCATCTCTGGTAGGATTCGAACCTTGTATCATTCACTTAGATGGTCACTAATGATTGGACAATGTTGTAAGACAAATCATTATTAAACACAAAAAACAGTAGAATGAGCATGTCTCAATAAATGTTCAAGGCAATGTGACTCCTTGAGAGAATACCCACCCATCATGATAGGTAAAAGTTCAGGGTCTGCTTGGTTGTGGTGGGATATGTTACTAGTTTAGTTTTGGATGTAATGAATTTTACAAGCCAGTAGTTCCCCACCCCAGTTGAGCCACCTGGTCTGGGTCAGAGGAGAAATGAGTTGCTAGGTTCTGTTCTTTCACATTTTTGCAGATGCATCTATAAACAGCTGTATCATTCACAAGCAAATTCATTTTTCACTTTGTGTCCGATTTTTGTGACCTTGTGTCATACTGTGTTTAGAAAATGTCTATAAAACAGAATTTTCCAATAAAGAAAAATCAAAGAGTGGAAACATTCTTTTGGTTTAGAATGGAACGCATGCTGTATCAGGATAAAAAAAAAAAAATTAGATAATGGCGGCAGAGGATAGCCATATTCTAATTCTTTCATTAGAACTAAAAAGTATCTCACAAATGCTGCTTTTTTTATTTAATGAGTCGGGGTAATATAAAAATATTTGGCAACAGATTGTTGTATCATCTGCATATTTATTCACTAAGAATCTGTGTATATCTTATGAGGTGTGAGCCTTGTACATAGCAGGATCAGCATAATTCAACTCTTAGATCAATATTTCTGATGGATATTAGAATTGACCTTTGACATTTCCTGGTGTGAATCTCATATGGCACGTGGAAAGCTGAAAGTCATTAAAGATAGTGACAAGCTTTCTCCTTTTCATGATGACATGAATAAATGCTGATGTAAATATTTTTTGTTTTGCAGGAGGTCCGAGATATCCGAGATGAATATGACCGTTACAAAGACGAAATGGCTGACTTGGCTGAAACTGTTGAAATTGCCACATTAGATAAGGAAATGGCAGAAGAAAAAGCAAGTTTAAAAATGAATAATACTTTTTTTTTATGTTATTAAATTAAAAATTTTAAGTTGTATTGCTTGTTAAAGTAACTGAAAACTTGAATGACAGTATTGCTTGAAAGGTTAAGATCTATCACTCCTTACCATATTTCTAGCTGGGAAAGTAAAAACAAAAAAATTTTTTTTTTTGTGGGGCAGACAGGGGTCTGTCTTCTTTTTTTGTGGGTGGATTCTTGTTTTTTTTCTTTATCTATTTGTCCTTCAGCATTATAGCATTTGTGCAACTGAATATATTTATTTGCAAAATCTGAATTCTGTAGGTTCAAATTTAATGGTTAAAACTAACAATACATTTGTATTTTTTCACCCCTTTCTTATTTGATGCTGATTTTTATTTCATTGTCTTTCTATTCAGTGTGAAGGTCTCCAGCAAGAATTGGAATCCCTAAAAGAAAAACTGGAAGAGCTAACTTTGGACCATGATATTTTAGAAAATGAGATCAAGGCGAAAGGTATGTACTTTCACTTTCACAGATTTAAAATTAATTTTCATGAAAACTTTCAGAAAGTACAGAATTTAGAATTTTGGTTATAAGTTTACTTTCATCAGCTCTGCAAAATTTCAAAATTTACCAGGAAGTGCTTCAAAAATCATTTTTTTTATTAAGATATTTACAAAAATACTACTAGAAATAAGTGTGCAAAAACAAATAGAAAATATGGATTAATATTAAATTTATATCATCTTTATCAAATATGACAAACTCTTCACAATGAGCTTTGAAAGGGTCTTCTCTCAAGGATGCCCTTTGCCTTGAATACCTAATGCTTACCCCAGACCTCAGGTGGAACACACATGCATATATATATATATATATATATATATATATATATATATATAATGCACACACACAATCCATCTCTAAAGATGCTGGAAAAATGGTCAGTTCCCTGTACTACTCCAGTAAGTACTTGACTCCTCCTGATATGCTCTACCTTTCAAGAGCCAGATCATAGCAAGTACTGCTGCCGTATATAAGCTGGAGCTGTTCAGTCTTCACTTTCTTGATAGTTCAAAAGCATTTACACAGCCTTGTGGGTGATGAATTATTTTCCACCCTACAACCCCTTTCCCACAGACAAAATGATGCAAGCCTTTCACTACTCTATGGCTATTTCCATATTCCTTAGTTCTACCAATTTTAACCCTAACAGCTAAGACTCAGCATACCATTTACATTGAGTTGAACCATCCTCATTCCCTTTGTACATCATTAGTAAGAAGGAAGTTCTATTTGAACAACTTCTTTCCAAACACAAAGGCAATCCATCACTGACAGAATACCATGCTCATGAGGTATTGTGACCATCCTGGCTAGGCTTTTGCATTTTGTAACATAAAAGACAGAAAATGCTGGATTTGTTGATTGTTTTGTTTAACGGCATCTCAACCTTAGGGGTCACTTTATGCCGAAAATGATTTTGAGTGACTTTAAAAGTCAAAAATGTATAGCTGGCAACATTATTGTTTCAAAAATGGATATCTGGAAACATTATTGTTTCAAAAACGTATAGCAGGCAACATTTTTTTTTTACAAAAAAACTTATAGCTGGCAACTTTATGGTTTCAAAAACGCATAGCTGGCAACATTATGGTTTAAAAAAAAACGTATAGCTGGCAACATTATGGTTTAAAAAAAAAACGTATAGCTGGCAACATTATTGTTTCAAAAAAGTATAGCAAGCAACATTATTTTTTACAAAAAACTTATAGCTGGCAACATTGTTTCAAAAACGGATAGCTGGCAACTTTATGGTTTCAAAAATGTATAGCTGGCAACATTATGGTTTAAAAAAAAAAAACAAAAACGCATAGCTGGCAACATTATTGTTTCCAAAATGCATAGCTGGCAACATTATTGTTCAAAAAAAAAAAAAAAAAAAAAAAAAACGTATAGCTGGCAACATTATTGTTTCAAAAACGTATAGCTGGCAACATTACTTTTTACAAAAAACGTATAGTTGGCAACATTACTTTTTACAAAAAACGTATAGCTGGCAACATTACTTTTTACAAAAAACGTATAGCTGGCAACATTACTTTTTACAAAAAACGTATAGCTGGCAACATTATTGTTTCAAAAACTCATAGTTGGCAACATTGTTTCAAAAACGGATAGCTGGCAACATTATGGTCCCAAAAACGGATAGCTAGCAACATTATTGTTTCAAAAACAAAAACATTATCTGAGGCCTTGCTGTTGGATGTAGTTTGTCATACCCAGGACACAGAAAATGCTGGAGGGCCATGATCACCAATCTCCTGAAGGTATGTAACACATAAAATATGGTCATCGGCTGAAAAGTATAGTGTGCAGCATGAAAAAATTTATTAGTAAATCTGTGTAATTTACATTGGTCCTGCTAGTTAACTATTATTTTGCTTGTTATTGTTACTATTTTTATTCTGTGTCTTACAGGTACTGAGGGGGTTGCCACTGACTACGAGATTAGGCAACTGGAACTTCAGAATGAAAGACTCAAAGAAGCCCTGGTCAAGTAAGCCTAATTATTTTTCATCATAATCTTCATTTACTTTATACTTGAGGAATTGAACGCATATCCTCTTGGTTTCAGTTTAAGCAGATGTATTCTTTCCTGCTATTATAACCATTTTATTTAAAATTCATGTCTTGATTTCAGATGAGCAAAGTTTAACCCTCATGCCGACAAAAATGTGTGTCAAAAGGACGTTTTTTCCCTTGACACCACTATTATTTTATACTATGTTTGTTTGAAAAAATGATGATTAGAATTTTAATAAATTGCAAACATATGAAAGTCAATTAATAAATTTTATTTTTTCTTGAAAATTTGCAACAAAAATATTAAACGCTATTTATTAGATTGTTTATTTGCAAGGATAATTTTATATTTACAATATTTTAAAAATGTGAACCAATTAATACAATGTTTATCATTTACTAGTTTAGAAAGAAATAAATATGAAAATAATTGTTTTATTCTTAAATTTGTAAAAAATTACTAATATCATTAAAATATGTGAACCAACTATAATCTTTTTTATTTACCATTTTATGAAGTTTGAATCAATTGGTAATACATTGTGCCAAACCCATTCAGAAATATCTAAACTGTCAGCTGTATACAATTGCTTCCTAAGATCATGGGAGGGGGGTGAAGGCTTTGAGCAAATAAAGCCTGAGAGTTTTTGCAAAGATAATCCTTCTTTGAACATTGTGGATTGGTGCTACAGAATCATAGTCAAAGAACACTACCAATAATAAGAAAATGCACAACTTGAGGAACACCACAGCAGCAAAAACTAAAATGGATAGCACATGTAACTTGAAGAGAAGATAATATAATCAAGATGTTAACATTCCACACCACTTCAAATAGAAATTAGGAAGGAAACTCCCAATTGGTAATGGAAAGTGTGATAAAAGCTTCTGGACTTGAGAAACCCATTTTCCTAAAAAAATGTTTTAAGAGAAAGATTTTATAAATTTCATTTGAAAACAGTACTGGCTGCTTGGTCAGTGAATGCCAAATGTTTCCTTGTAGGGAAACAGCAAACATCATTATTAGTCAAGTTACTTAGTGTCCACTCTTTAAGATTTCTTCATCAGTCAGTGAACAAAATGAAATAATCTCCAACTGAACTTCATACCAAAATCATTAACTTTAAATGAGCTCCTTTATAAAGGCTATTTCTTTCAACTAAATGAAAAAATATTATTCATAAATTAAATACATAAACCATGATGTCCAACCAAACCTGATTAGGCATGAAATGACTTAATGAATGTTGATATGCCTTTAAACCCAACAATCAAATCATCAGTCAGCACTTGGCTGACAATAAATAATCTATTGGCAGTTTTTATAGGCATTTTTAGAAAAATTAGCAACAATTTAAAAAAAAAAACAAATTTCCGAATTGCTGAAGTTTCAGGCTTTGGACTTTTATCAATTAGTCATCTTTGATTTTAGATCACAATTATAAAACAAAAATTGGAAAATTAAAATTAAATTTTCTTGTTCTATAATTCATAGATATTTTTATAAAATTATGAAAAAATTAGTATGAAATTATGAAAAAAAAAAAAAAGTAGCTATTTCTTTATAAAATCATAAATAATAAATATCACATTGTACTTTGTTCAGATATTTTTATAATCTTCTAAATATTACTGAGGGGTCTCAGTAGTATACAGTAATAATGGTGTCAACAGAAAAACTGACCTTTTGAAATAGTTTTTTTTTCTTTTTTTCCAGCCTGAAGGTTAAACTTTTCCAAAATATGTATATATTAAATATATTAGTGTACAATGAGACATGTTTGTTTCACAGTCCATAAAGATAGACTCACTTACTATAGGTTAATTGTTAACACCTTGGTATCTTTGTAATGACAAAATATACAAGCGTCCTGGGTATGACGATAAACTACGTCCGCGTCCTGGGTATGACGATAAACTACGTCCGCGTCCTGGGTATGACGATAAACTACGTCCGCGTCCTGGGTATGACGATAAACTACGTCCAACAGCAAGTAAGGCCTCAGATGGTGTTTTCAGAAAAATAATGTTGCCAGCTGTACGTTTTTTATTTTTTATTTATTTTTTTTTTTTTGGAAACAATAATGTTGTCAGCTATACGTTTTTTTGGAAAAAAATAATGTTGCCAGCTATACGTTTAATTGTACTGTATATTTGATATATATAAACTTAATTTGACATTAAATGACCTACAGTGGTTGATATGCCATAAAACCCAACCAACCAACCAAAATATACAAAAAGTTTTGTGTTGATGACAGTAATGCTTTAATAATAATTCTTTCTCAAAACCTGTTTTAAAAGGAATACTATTTCTTTGTGTGTAGAATGCGAGATTTATCAAATCAGGAAAAACATGACAGCCAGAAACTAACAAAGCAAATAGAGAAACAACAAAATGAATTGACAGGCCTGAAGAAAGATAAAGAAAAGCAACAGAATGAAATTTCAGATTTACAAAACCAAACAATTGAACTGAAGGAGCAAGTAAGTAACATTCATCCTCTTTTTATTATTATTATTATTGATGATCTAATGTAGGTACCTCCAAAAAAGTTTAAAAATGTATTTTTAAAAATGAAAAAAATCTTTCTTCAAGCTTTTATTTTAGCTTTAATTTCAAGCTGATAGATTAAAATCTATATCGCCTTTTCTCTCTCTCTTTCTATACTTCTTTCTCTATACTTCTCTCTCAAATAAAAAGAGGAAGAAAAGACTGTGGTTGAAAAATGGTAGAAGTTTGCTGGTTCATAGGTTTAGTTATTGTGACTAGAAATCTACCAAAATAAGAGAGGCTTTGTTTTTCTCTTCATCTTTTCTTACACAAATCAAAAATACAAGTTTAAATGATATCAAATTGATATTAAATTAGTGAAAATTAAAGATGATGTTAAATTATGTATCTTTCTAGAAGTTTTTATTTTAGTTTTAATTTCAAGCTAATAGATTAAATTTAGTATTTTCAATAAGCAAAATACTTTACTGTATTTTGAAAACTAATTTAAATTGACAGGAAGAATATTTTTTGTTCCTTTTGCTAAAATAACTGATTATAGCCTTTTTTTTTTTTCAGTTGACTTTCATCACAATGAAATTCTCTTTATTAAAAAATGTATAAAATAAACTATACTTTTCTGAAACTTTAGCTGATTTAAAGTACAATTAATCTTATTTGAAACAAATATTACAGGGTGAGATGGATAAATTGTCGTCTAAATTACTCAAAATATGATGTCAATGTTATTTTCATTTTTAAGATGTATTTACCAAAATTACACAAAAATATCTTGTAATGCTAAAGTAAATTTATTCAATATAATCACCATTGGCTTCAACTTTGGAATCTCCTGCAACTCTTCTGGACAGTCTCCTTGTTTAAGTTGGTAAATGCTGCCATAATTCTTGCCTTCAGTTTCATCTTTGGTCTCTCGCTTAACTGTGCTCCACACATAATAATCAAGGAGGTTGCAGTCTGTGGAGTTAGGTAGCCAGATGTAAGGGGTGATGTGGTCGCAGAAATTGCCTGACAGTCATGACTGGGTTTTTCTGCTTTTGTGGCATGGTGCAGAGTCCTGTTGCCAGACATAAAGCCTTCCAGTAGCCACCATCTTGAAAAAGTGCTGCACTGCCTCCTCAAGACACTTGATCTAGACCCCTGTTGGTCTGATGCCGTGTGGGATGAATGGAGGCATAACGTCAACATCACTAGTTTTTACTCCAAACACCTTAGTAATCTATAATCCTCAGACTGACACTCGAATACTCTGAAATGTTTGTGTTGGAGCTTCTGGTGCAAGTGCCAAGCAGTACAGCATGCCGCTTCTAAATTTCTGGTGGAGTGTATTGTGTTATAGTGCTCTTTTTCTCATAGATAGTTCCCAACTGACCCTATTATACTTTGCAGTTGACAAAATAAAAAAAACAAAAAACAATGTGCATACGTGAAATTAAAAATATATGGCGACAATTTACCCATCACACCGTGTATTTATTTTAAGTTTAAAATATTGCAAAAATGAATTTTTTAACCCAACAGTAGTTGTTTATTTAAGGGATTTGTACTTTTGACAGTTTAATGACAAATTGATATTTATCTAATGTTGTTATATGGGGGCTTTAGGCATTAAAAAAGTAATTGAATTAATGTGAGCACTTTTTACATGTAATTTTTAAGTACTCACTAATATTAAAACTTTAAAAAAAATATTCTCCATAATGTTTTATTCTATTTTTTGGTCACAACCGAATAATAGAAAATCGGCATAGTTATACATATAAAAAATAATTCAAATTTTTTAAAAGTATTGGTGCATGATGATTGTACTAAGCTTTTCAATTTATGATTAGTAAATATAGTTTTTACTCAATAAAAGAAGGACCTTCAGAATCCTCCCATCAGTAAACTTTTGCTTCCTGTGTTTTGCCATCATGGTAAGGCAACACTGGAGAGTCCTTTCTAGGATGCAGGCCTGGGCAGGGTTTTATGAGAGATCAGTGGTTGCCCATGCAGCACATTTCTCCTCTCTACACCATTGATGTTGTCTGAAGGAAAGATAGTCCAATATGATAATACTTGTTAATAATAAATCATAATATTGTAATAATATAATAATAATAATATAAAAGTGTAGATGGGATAATGTTTCAAATATGGAATCGGTGAGTTGAATTCAGTTGAAACAATTAGTGTTTACTTTGAACTAATGCTCTCCAGAAAGGCAAAAATCTGACCCCCCCCATCAGTTAAGGATTAAATAAGAGTAGACTGAGCTCTCTAGCCTTGGTTAGCAGATATTTTTGGAAAAGAACAGCTCTAAATTACATAAAGATGATCCTAGTAAAACTATATATTGCTTTTGCTAAAAGACAATTTGATTGTGTAATATGGAAAGAGGAGAACTTGTTAGTCACATGGAAAACATTGTAAATATGGGAGTTCTCTTGGCTCATGACAGCATTTTTTGTTAATGTATGCCCATCAAAAACTAACTCCATATCAGACACATTTAAGACAACAAATGCACTTATATTTGTTGTAAAGCTGTTAGAATGAATATGATGAGAAAGTTTACATTCTACAAGGTGTGTTTCTGTGTTTATTTATCTTTTTAGCTGTGCTGGAGTGTCTGTTTGATGATGTCCGGAATATCAGGGAATTTGATTCAATTAGACTGTGAACTCTGGCATTGTAATATAATCAGTCTGACAGCATGATGCAATAAATTGTTCATTTTTGTAGACTGATGATCTTTTTGTCTTAGACATAAAGGATGAAAATAGAACAAGAAGCTTTGTCGTTGGAAATGGAATGAAAAATCGAACCAGGGATTAAATCCCTTTTTCAGTCAAGGGATTAGTTTGACCCCCCCACCCCTTTTCTCACCATATTCTGTGCTGCTCTGGTGTAAAACTGACTTGTTATTCTTTGATCATGCCATATGATTGTTAATATATTACAATATGCATATTGTAATATATTAACAATAATGAAAGATTTGTTGTATTCATTTAAAAGATCCTGCTTGTGATATCCAGATTATTTTATGAATAAAATTATATTTAATTTCTAAATATTGAACAAACCTTTATGCCTTTCCATTTGAATTATTTCAGTTCTTATTTTGGTAGGTAAACACACTCATAAAAGACAAAAGGTTGAAATTGATATATTTACTTTTGGACAAATGCTGTTTATAAATTTGTTTGTATTTCAGCAGAAAAAATCCTTTGCCAGAATATCTGTTCATGTTGCTAATTAAAATACTTCTAAAACTGGCAAATCACTTCTGCACTGACACTCTTCATCTTGTAAAAAAAAAAATATGTGATATTAAATTTTTGTCAAACTGGATCATTTGTCTGCAGGCAGGACAGTTGGTCAAACAAAAATGTAACTTTTTTTTTTTTAATTTTACAGGCATCTCATTTATTTTTCTTAGATTATTTTGTAGAATTCACTGATTGTTATATTATCTTTTTATTTTTATTTTTTTATATTTAAAAAAAAATTGTTCATTAATTTTTTTTTTTTTTTGTTTAGTAATTATTGACACAGGTTTAGCATTTTGTTGACATGTTTTTTTTTTTTTTAGCATTCATTAATGTTTATTTTAGTATTTTTATATTTCATTATTTTGTTCACTAATTGTTGCGTTGGTGAATCTGTGTGTCTGTGTTTTTGCGTTTGTATTTCTTCTGAAAGATACATTCTTAAATCTTCTAAATATTCTTTGTAAACCTTTCTTGTCTGTTTTATGACCTTGAAATAAAGTCTTCTCAGCATGCAGCCCACTTCTCCCTGAAGATTAATTTTTCTCCTTGTTTCTTTGCTCTGATCCTCTGTTGACATGATTGTTGATGATGTTATTATAGACCTCAAGTGTCTTCGATTAAATGAATGTCCTGTCTTAAAATCCTTGCTTCTTTTTTCAGTTATCGGAACTTCTAGCAAAGGTAACAAACAAAGTGATGGCCACTTTGTTTCCCCAAATTGGTTATTAATGGGCAAATTTTCTCCTTCCATTTTTTTTTTTTTTTTTTTTTTTTTTAAACTACTCTCAAATGGGGTCTTTGTACAAAAGCTATTTTTATTATTGCTACTGCTGCTTCTGCTCTTTTCTCTTGGTTGACCAACCCCAATCAACAGCTATATGCCCAAACAAAAGAAACAAAAACCCACTCTGGTTTACTGCTCTTGGGGGCTAGTTGCCTTCTGGCTGTTTGCTTTAAGCCAATTAGCTAAATTCTGAAGTATGCAGAACAAGAGACAAATGAGGCAGGATGCAAAATTATTTATCATTTCTCAAATAATGCCATTATGTTGCTTAGTGTTTGTATAAGATTTATCTGATCTTTAAAAATGTAAGAGTATTGGAAAATGGGTATAAATGATGTAGTATTTTAAATCTATGACTTCTTTGTTTGAAATTGGGTACACCTATTTTATTTTATATATGGAATAAACCAAATAATCAGTAAAGGGAAAATATCAAACTCCATCAATACATAAGGAAGAAAACATTAAAAAAAAGCTGCTTACCTGAACAAAAACCTAAAGTGCTCAATGTCTCTAGAAATCAAACTATGATAGTACAGTAACATTAACAAATGCCAAAAAGCACTCGGGGACTGATAGAAAAAGAGATACAGGTTTGATTCTTGTCAAGAGTCACAATTTTTCTTTTCATAGGATTTCTTGATCTAGTCTGGTTGTTATTAATTTTAAGAAAAAAACCCAAAAAAAACAGCAAACCTGTCATATCAAGTCAAACATGCGTACCTACTAAAAATAATGTTTATAGTAATAAGAAATAATTTTGGATAAAAAAAAAATACATTAAAAATTACTGATGACATTATGGATATGAAACTGAAGCTAGTAGATATAGATTTGTAGATGACCCAATAAAAAAAAATTGTACAACTATCACTGTTCAAGTAGATAAAAAAAAAATAAGTATGGCAACTGTCACTGTTTAAGAAAATTA